TCTTAGGAGGAAGTTTCACACTTTGGGAAAAGAGAGAGACTCATTCAGTCACATTTACAAACAAATACTGAAAATTAAACTACTGTTTCACAAAGAGGTGCCTATGGTTAATGAAAGTTCATGAAGATTTTACTTGTCTGGCTCAGTAATTTGAAATGTGCATTTGGGCATGAGTCTGTGTGCATTGTCCCACACCTAGGCAGAGGCAGTGACAGGGAAGAGTGGAGGCTCTGGAGCCTTGACATAGAATTTGAGCCCTGGTTCTGCCACCACCTATCTGAGATTCTAACTGTATGTTTGTGTGCATGTATGTGTTGTCTGCACATGCATGTATGTGGGCATAGAGTCTATTAAAACCAGTTTTAAGTGTCAGCATTTAGAAATGACATTAATAGCAGTGATAATAATCAAACAATTATAATGACAGTAACTTAAGAACCAAGGACAGAGTGTCAGTGTCCCTTGTCTTTTTTCCTGACTTCCCTCTCTTCTGATTTCCTCCTACGTGATTACTCATTGTCAGCTTCTTATCTGCTTATTGGCTGTTATGTCTTTCACTCAGAAGGTCATAAAAACAAATGCTCATATGATCCAAGTAAGTAACACAAATCTTTGAAATCTCCTGTATAAGAATCAGGGATTTGATGAGGGCAGTGGTGAACAAGAACACTGTTTCTCACACTTGGTGGTGAAGGACCAGCTTATTATTTCATGGACCTATACCTGTCCATGTTCCAGAGGATGCTTGTCAAATAAGACATGCATCGTTGCAATGAAACAAAATACGATAGAAGGAATGTAAAACTAATGTTCTCCCATGTAAACTATCACATAACTCACAATAAGAACTTAAAAAAAAAAAAAAAGAACCATTTGTACTAAATGAACAAGTCCAAGTGGCACCAAAGTCATTGGCAAATCCCCCTTCCCCAAAAAAACTCCTGGAATTGATGGAATACAAATGGAAATCTTTCAACCAACTGATGCAGCACTGGAGGTATTCACTCATCTATGCCAAGATACTTGGAAGACAGTTATCTGGCCAACTGATTGGAAGAAGTGTCCATTCCCTAGAGAGGCAACTAAAAAAATCATTGAATAGTATCATTAATATCTCATGCAGGTAAAATTTTGCTAAAGGAAACTCAAAAACAGCTACAACAGTACATGAACAGAGAACTACTAGAATTTCAAGCTGGATTCATAAAAGGATGTGGAACGAGGACGTCATTGCTGATGTCAGATGGATCCTGGCTGAAAGCAGAGAATACCAGAAATATGTTTACTTGTTCTTTATTGACTATGCAAAGGCTTTGACTATGTAGATCATGACAAGCTATGGACAACACTGTGAGGCACGGGTATTCCAGAACACTTACTTGTACTCATGATAAACTTGTACATAGACCAAGAGGCAGTCCTTCGAACAGAACAGGAAGATACTGATGGTTTACAATCAGGAAAGATGTGCACTATGGTAGTATTTCCCACCATTCTTATTCAATCTGTATCCTGAGCAAACAATCCGAGAAACTGAATTATATGCAGAATGTGGCATCAGGATTGGAGAAAGACTTATTAGCAACCTGCCATATGCAGATGATACAGTTTTGCTTGCTGGAAGAGAAGAGGACTTACAATACTTATTGATGAAGATCAAAGACCACAGTCTTCAGTATAGATTTCACCTCAATGTAAAGAAAACAAAAATCTTCACCACGAAATCAATAAATAAGACCTTGATAAATGGAGAAAAGATTGAAATTGTCAAAGTAATCATTTTGTTTGGATTCACAATTAACATTTAAGCAAGCAGCAGCCAATAAATCAAACAACGTATAGCATTAGGCAAATCTGCTGTGCAAGGCATTTAAAAAATGTTCAAGAACAAAAATGTCACTTTGAGGACTAAGGTGCACCTGACCCACGCCATGGTATTTTCAATAGCCTCATATGCAAAGTTGGACAATGAATAAGGAAGACCACAGAAGAACTGATGCATTTGAATTGTGGTGTTCAGAAGAATACTGAAAGTACCATGGACTGCCAGAAGAACAAACAAATCTGTGTTGGAAGAAGTACAACCAGAATGCTCCTTAGAAGTCTCTCATACTTCAGATATATTATCAAGAGGGACCAATCCTTGGAGAAGTACATCATGCTTGGTAAAGTGAAGGGTCAGCAAAAAAGAAGACATCCCCGCCCCCCACGAGATGGATTAATCAGTACAGTGGCAGCCGCAAAGTGCTCAAGTGTAACAACAAATGCGAGGATGGCACAAGACCAGACAGTGTTTCATTCTGTTGAGGATAGGGTCGCTGGCACCTAACAACAACAACAACAACTAGCAACACAAAGAGATAAAGAAGAACCTAAAGCAGGCTGCAAAGATGAGCATGTGCAAGATCACCAGGTAAAGGAAGAACTTGGAGAACCAATGGAGCTGTTTCTCATAACAGACAGCATTGATGTAGGAGTACTGCTACCGGTGGAGGTCATTCTGGATTCTGAGGGGGAGCAGGAGCGTGGGTCCACGGTTAGATGATGTGTTCATGCTGACTTTCAGGAGGTCCCAAGGCACAGTGCAGCGATTGTTGAATTCCCCTTTACATGGAAGACAGAACAAAACCATGCTCTACGTTAGCTGGAGTGCTCCAGCCAGCACAGCCACCAGCAGTAGCATGATCAGGATAACGTAATACCAGAAGACATCCCACCATGGTTTTAAGATGTGATAAGATGGCTGGGAATCTGCTAAATGCTTTAGCTCTGTTAGTGTAATCATGACTTTCACTTGTAGGAATCCAGAAATATAATAAAAAATAAATCAAGTAACTTGAATATGCTTCAATCAGGAGGTCTACACCTTTTGAAATTTCTTAGACACACCATCTCTGTGTTTGTCTTCATTTTTGTGTCTTTTCAAAATGGTTTGTACAATTCTCATCAAGATGTCTTTTGAGTCTAACATCTTCGTTCCTATATCTTGCATACTGGGTACTCTATCCCTGTCTGGGAGTATACATTTGGAAAGAAGCGTTGATCCTTCTGCTGTGGGGCTGGAAGAGAGACAGATGCCAGCCACACCTATGAATGATGGTCAACTGGAAACGCCGCAATTAGTTTCTATTTGAAATATTCCTGCACCACTCCAGCCCTGGGGGCTGGCGCTGCCCAGGGTTTGTGCCTTGCACCACTTAGGTAAGCAGGAGGCAGCCCCAATGCCCACACTTTTCCGGCTGCTGGCCACTGCAGGCTCCGCACAAGACGTTTTTAAAGTGTTGAAGAGCAAAGATGTTAGCTTGAAGACTAAGGTGCGCCTGACCCAAGCCATGGTATTTTCAATAATTTCATATGCATGCGAAAGCTGGACACTGAATATGGAAGACCATAGAAGAATTGATGCTTTTGAGTTATGGTGTTGGAGGAGGATATTGAAAGTGCCATTGGCTGCCAAAAAGAACCAATAGATCCGTTTTGGAAGAAGTGCAGCCAGAGTGCTCCTTGAAGGCCAGGATGGCCAAACTTCATCTCTCATTCTTCAGATATATTATCAGGAGGAACCAGTTGCTAGAGAAGGATATCATGTTTAGTAAGATGGAGGGTCAGAGAAAAAAGAGGAAGACCCCCAGCGAGATGGATTGGCAAAGTGGCAGGCAGCATCAATGGGCTCAAGCGTGGCAACAATTGTGAGGTTGGCCCAGGATCAGGCAGTGGTTTGTTCTGCTGTGCCTAACATCACTATGAGTTGGTACTGACTCTACTATGGCACCTAACAACAACAACATAAACCAGAATCAACTCAGTAAGAGTGGGTTTGGTTTGATTTTTAACCCAATTTGGGGTCTATTGATACATATAGACTCAGTTTAAATACACACTTTTTATTATTTTCCTAAACAATAAATATCAATTTGGTGTGTGATAGTCTCCCCACTGCTGGACAGTGGGTAATCCTGATGATCTATATAGTCCCTTGTCTAGGTCTAGTCAGTTATTCTGCTATGAGTAGGAGAGCAAGTGGGAGTTAAGAGGAAGGTGGACCATAGGGCAGTAGGAGAACATCAGAGAACAGAGGTGCTGACAGCAGAGAGGAGGTGGTGAACACCCATCAGGGACAAGTGCAGACTCCTCAAACCAGGCTATTTTTATGCAAGTTCTCCTAGCTGCATGGGTCACTGAGCTTTGACATCATCAGTTCGCAGATTCCCATAAACCTATTTTAAAAGACCTCATTTCAGAAACTGATACCAACATACACAAATTCAACCAAATGACTGAACAGAAGGAGCTTATGCAGAAATATTCATAATCCAGAGACTGAAACTATTGTTTCACTACAAGTACATAGACTTTAAGGGAAACTAGTACAAGAATCTTCAGAG